AGATGTATATATATATATATATATATATATATATATATAGTTGAAGTGCACATCAGTTTTCCCTCAGGAGACAGAAAAGACGATAACCGAATACATACTTACCTGTAGTGACATAGTGACAGACCACAACCTCATCCGAGCGGCGTCCTGAGCTACAACCCAGCAAAGGGACTTACTTCGCAGCCCACAGCTATATCCAAGTAAGTGTTCATGCACCAACATGGGGCAGGCATTCCTGCATCTGGCCCCCCAACTCCTGCAAACAGCGCACACCTTCGTGTGCCTGTTTGTCCCTAAATGTTGTTGTACCGCTTCGCTGGTTTAATACATTTGTTCATCCGAAGTCTCATCCGGCGGCATATATAGCGGGTCATGCTTTTGTCCCGCATCACTGTCCCCCCATGAAGCGTTGCTTGCTTGCTAACCAACCGAACTCCGTTTCGATACACACCTAGGGCATCTCTGTGATTCTGTTGGCTAGAACTATTTTTTCGGCTTTATCATACGTCACCTCCTTGGTCAGCTTCAAGCGTCTTCTCCTCCGTCTTATTGATCTCGAGACCCTCATTCATCCTACCCAGCAGATCTTGAAGGGGTTCCTCCTCATGACTTTCCTATTTTGGCTTTCCTGGCGCTCTCTCTCTGAGGAAGTTGAGAGGGATGCCCTAAATACAGTTGGGTGCTGTTTATTCCTTATGCTTTACTTTCGTGTTTCTTTCTGGTTTCGTTCTCGTCTCAGTTTTTTGTTTGCTTTTGTTTTACGGGTCTCAGAGGGTTCGAAGGGAGCGCGCTGAAGCCCAAAGTGGGGGGCCTTGAATTCGAATTGTCCCTAGGCCATGGTGTGTTACACTGCCAAGTGCTGCACAACCAATGAACAAGCACTTGTAGAGAGAAGCGTATTCTTCTCAAGTCACCTCTCCGGGGATACTCATCCAGTGGGGGGTTCTGCGTGTTCAGCTGCTCTCAGTGGCGTGTGACCTCTTTGACTTTGTTCACCTTTTTCTTCTTCCTTCTATGCTGTATCGGTTTATTCAAGCCCCAAAAGACTTATGGGGTGCTGCCTTGTCTCTTCAACGAGTAGAGAATGTCCGTACATGCGACGGTTGCCGTGCGTTCGTTTTCGGTGTGAGTGTCGGGGTCATTGTTGATACTGTCAAGGAAGACACTCACCAAACATCTGACTCTTACATTAGACCTAAGGAGCGATTGAAATCTCCAGTCTGAGAAGGACGAAATAAAGGTAACTCAAGTACTGGAGACAATGTCAGGCGTATGATCAGGGTTCCGTCAAATCCGTTTTCACTTCCTATTCACAAATGCTACTTACCCATTTTAAGCAGATCCCTCAAGGGGAGTGGCGACGCGAGAGAGACAAGTGATCATGTTATGGTTGTACGATGCAAAATCGATAAACTTCTGGACGTTCGCGCTAGTGTATCGGGGTAGCCCCCACCCCCGAATGGCGTCTACCTTTTTCTTTTCTGATTCGACAACTGCTGAAGGCACGGAAAATTCAAAGAGGCCAGTTGCTTGCAGGGAAAGCGAGCAAGCTTTTGCGCCTTCACAAACCATTGCTTCTTGTGTAGCAGCTTCAGAGCACGCCGTCGGTGCTGCAGCTGCTCCTGTACATTCCGGCTGAACGCAAGCACGCCTTCCACGCACATGTTCATCCATCCTACACTGACTGGCCCCAAGAAGTTGTGATTGATCTGTGGCTGCAGTTCCGCAGGTGCATTCGCAAGCCCTCGCACGAGCACGCGTGAACTCGGGCCTGCGAATGCGGGTATGGCAAGCACTCTTGTGCCTGCCTTCGGGACTTTTAATCAGATTCGAAGAAGCCCATCAACTAAGTCAACTTGTGAATAAACTGCTAAACCCTGCAAGCGGTCAAGTAGTTCGTTGAACAGTTGCATCCGAAACTCTTATTTCACCGTGATTTTGCCTGGAGCCAAAGCGTATGCGCCACTTCCCACCCGTTTCTCTCCCCAGCACCGGATTATACTCAACGCGCTAGTTGACGGTTTAAATGTGTCCCTTCTTACTACTTTATCTGCGTGGTGTTCGATTCCCCCTTCAAGATGTGGAAGGTCGCCAAGCGTTGTTACTTGGAACGACGCCTGGAGCTGTTCCGGAAGTGAGTTCGATGCAGTACATTGGTATTCCAGCGGGCGGCCGACCCGCTGGTATTTGTTACTTAGTGCATATGATAACTATTCCTTCAGTTGCACTCACTTCTGCTGTTCTCCCGGCGTTAGCTGGATCGAATCCCCCGAAACAGCGTCTTTGTACGATCAGGACGGAGTGCATGCATACCTTCATCATTCTCTTTTAGCACTTCTGCACTACGCTGAGCCCTCGTCGCTCCTTTCTGTTTGGTCAACGCTGATGCCTCCTTCGTCGTAGAAGTGCGACAGCTTACACGGCAAGTCTGGTATTTTCAACACATTGTAAACCGGTGCATGGCTCCCTCACGGCAGGTTCACAGGTGACTGGGATTTATCCTACTACCTTCTCCTTCAACGGTGTTCCATGATAGCAATATGACCAACATTGTACCTGCGCTTGCCGGGCAAACCGAAGCCGCAAAGACGCAGTTGAGAGCAGCGCCGTGGAACAGGCATCCCCGCCAAAGTTACGGCTCCCTGTAGCTGACCAGTGCGGATACACTTTTAGGGGCAAAGCTAAAAGACCACTTGGCACAAGCCAAGGCAGCGTTCGAATGGAGCTTGTACGGTCTGCGTAGCCAAATGCTGCAAGCTATCGTTCAAAAAAATTTCGGTTTTAGAAAAACTCCCAGGTGACAAGACAGTGAACACAAACACTAAGGTTAACATAATATTTCAAGCTGCCCACTTCACAATAGATTCACAAGTTGCCCAGGGGCAGGCCACACGTGCAAGGGATCGGCAATCGGTGCCAGAAGACCCACAATCGCTTACAACAGACTTTCCACACCTTCACCGCTGTAGGCGTCTTTATGGCCTCAGTCATAGTTAACAATGCATTTGGTTTTTTTCAGTACATGAGAATTCCTGGAAGGCATTTGATATCCTGGAACGACAGCCAGGCTTGTCTTGGCGCTCAGTGAGCGCGTGGCAAGCCTCAGATGCAGGTACTTGAGAAGTATCGCAGTAAGTGGGACTAAAACATCGCCATGTCCGTTTAGCCTTTTTTCCACCTTTACTATGTAAGGCTGAGCTGGCACAGGAGCCTCGCAGCAAGTCCCTTGACGAAGACTCGGTGGACTATCCTTCAACGCTGGGTAGATAACTTTCTGGGATGCACTGCACGACCCCTGAAAGCCCTACCTCTAAGGGCACGAAGTTGCATGACCCTATATCTTATCAACAGAGTCTGCGTATGGCTGGATCTGACGAGCCCACGGCTTGTGACCCCTTGCCAAACTCGTGCGCGACTAAGAAGCATGCGGAAATCGATCGCCCACTCGACCAAGCTTCCATAGTCGAACAGGTCCGCAACGGCTCTAAAGTCGAAGGCTCAGGGCAGACAAATGAGCCGTCAAAAAGTCTGTCAAATGATGCGCAACTCGAAGAGCGCTGCTTGCGCAAGCGGGGCGCGTCACATACCCCAGCTTCAACAAAGTCAGAAGGGGCTACTGATGAGGCTGGCGAGGGGAAAGGAGCTGCATATGCACGCTCAGATATGGTTGACTGCAGCTCTAGCTTGCAGCCTAGGCCTATAAAATTCCCCAGATCGACGCAGGAGCCGATGACCAGTCAAGAGGTGGTCACAGAAGCAGCAGCAACCACAGGAGGGTTCTCGACGATGCCGGAAAAGACTCATCAAACTGATACAGCTAAAGGCGTACTCAAGAAGGGCGTCACAGGTGGTATCCCCACGGAGCAGCGACAAGGTGGCTCAATTAGTCATTCTGAAATGTATCAGTCTGCATGGATTCTCGCCCCCATGGTGCGGATAAGTACATTGCCTTTCCGGTTAGAGTGCCTCAAGTACGGCGCAGGTAAGGTTGGTAATGTGATCAGCGTGAAATGCAGGCGGACTCACCCGTATCCAAGGGGTGGTGCTTGGGGAATAGTGTACACGGGTCTTCTTGGGTGTGCGCGCGACAGACCTTGTCTACTCTGAAGAAATAGTGGACAGAAAGCTCATAGACACAAAGCGTTACATTAACAAGGACTTTGGCACTGTCGGTAAGTGGGCAACATCCCCTTTACACGCAGCATTCAAATGCGTTTTCTGCTCCTTGGCTGCTTGCACAACTTGGGATGGAAGGGAGGATCTCCAGCAACCCGTGACTCATTTTTCGCATTTATAGAGAACCCCCTACTCAAGGCTATGGACGATGATGAACGCTGCTGCAGAGTACATCCACAAGAGCGATAGACGGTGTGTTTTCTCCACCTGCGAGCTCGAGAAAGGCAAAGTAGTGCTGCAGCTCGGGACCGCAGATGCAACGCGCGCCCTGCAAGCCACAACTGTTGTCATGCAGGTTTGTACTGACAGTTTGTTCCCTCTTGTGAAACTTTCAGCAACCCTAAAAAGCGCAGTCTTTGTATGCAGGCTGAGGAGCTTGCTTTTGCACAGAGCGTAGCTCGAAGATGTGACCCTGTTTTCTCTCTTCACAGGACATTGCGGCGGTAGACATAAATATGGGATGCCCAAAGAGTTTTTCGTACGTCGAGTTAAGCCTCTAACGAGTGAAGCCTCACAAGCAAAAGCAGGCGCTTCGAGCGTCAGCATTTGTCGGGACAGTCAGCTAGGGATAAAGTCCAAATCTAGCGTAATTTCGCGTTAGTCTCAGGGTACCGTAGCTCATCTGCTTTGATATGCAGCCCTTCCATTGTATGCCTCTTTGCCCTGGTAGGGTCAAAGGTGGTATGGGGGCGGCGCTGCTCCAAACTCCAGACGTGGCAATGGATATTCTGAAGACGCTAACTCGAAATATTACTTGTCCGGTGACGTGTAAGATTCGCCTCTTGGAAACACTTGAAGAGGTACGAATTTCAAGTGGGTGTGCTGCTGGGGCCTTCCAACCCACCTGCTTCCTGGTGCAGTTTGCTATGGCTAGCGCCAGAAGAAAGAGACCGCAGGCTGTCGCGCATGCAAAAAAGGACTTACCGCCCGCTTGCCCGTTGAAGACAAGCCAACTGCAATGCTTCACTGGCTGTGCTGTGCTGGTTCAGACAGTCGACTTCGCACGAAAATGCGAGAGTACAGGAATAGCAGCGATTGCCGTTCATGCCAGAGTATGGTGAAGCGTTGTGTGACTTAGCATCAGCTCTAGCCCTGCACTGCTGTAAGCTCAATGCATATATCCAAGGCAGCAGCGTTCTCGGATGAGTTTCCGAGCAGCTTCGACGCTTCATTTGCTTCTACAGAAACGCCACGAACGACCGGCGCACAGAGCAAACTGGCAAGCCTTCCCGGTGAGTTTCCGCTTACCTAATGCTGTAGTGTTGTAGTCAGTAATTCTAAAATTGGCTGTAGCTTTTTTGCTCTCGTCCACGCCTGTTTCTTCCACCGTTCGTAGGCTAACACTTCGTGCATGGCATTTGCATCAAGTGCAAGCTACTCTTAATCGCTTTGTCGAGCCCGACGCTGATTTTTCAGCTTTTCCTTACAAGCAACAACTGTACTTTGTAGTTAGAACGACGTCTCAAAGGCGGTGCTTTCACCCTTGACTGCTTGGACGCAGGACCCCGCGCGCAGGCTAACCTTCAACGTTTTGGATGGCCGCACGTTTTTGTCCCTTGTTTCGACGCAGGTATTGCAAAGTGCTCTCAGAATTCCGCTAATCGCCAATGGGGATTTGTTCTCCGCTGACGATGCAATTCGTTTTCAAGTATGTGGATGCTGACGTCGCTTGCTCTCTTACTAAGTAAAACTTCATAATTTTGAGCGTGATGCTCTGGTGGTAAAGTTTATTCAGTGCGTTTGTGGTGCTGGCCCTTCTGATATGACGATACAGGAGGCATATGGCATCAGGAGCTTGATGTTTGCTAGAGGAGCCATGTGGGACCCGTCGCTATTTGCCCATAAGAAGGCATATGAGGCTGGTGCTACAGCTGGATGCTCCTTTTCTCGTTCAGAGGTTCTCAAGGACTACATAAAGCGTGTATGCTGCGTCTGAAGAGCGTCACTGCCCTTGCCGTCCCCAGCCGTCTCAGCAGATGTCTACAGAAAGACATAATTTAGTGAAGTCCTTGAGTTCCAGTGGACTGCAAAATGCGACAATATGCAGTAACGGCGCAGTAACTGCGCTTTAGCGGTGCCTCTTGTATCTTTTTTGTGCATTCAGGCCGTGCTGTGCGGAGCCCCATACCAATCCATAAAGTTTACCCTTCAGGAAATGACTGCGCGGGTATTTTCATTTTTGACAATGCATTGCCAGCTCCGGCATTCATCTTGGCGGCCTTCGCTGTTGAACGGTTTCCTGCAGTGGTATGTAGCCCTGTGTAATTTGGGTTTGCCTTTTCATTTGTCATTGCTCTCTTCTCGTAGGATAGTGATCGAGACCTCAAGCTCGATTTGGTTGCGGCGAATTCGACAGCAAAGGTCTGCACTGTGTTCGGACTGGACCACTTCTACAACGGCATCAAGCATGTGCCTTATGCTAATACACTCAACTATTACAAGTATGTAGACCTCGAGTAAGACTCCGCTTTTAGCGTTGATCTGCCATCGTTTGTCATCTGTAGGGCTCAGCGGCAGCTGAATGCGCATTAGAAGATGCGCCTACAATTGTTGCTGCGCGTTTCCCCGCGTACAAAACAGAAAACTTATTTTCACGTCGCATTGATTTTTGAAAGATACATGATTGTCCACCCATGTGACGGGATGGCCTCAGTCGTAGATGAAGATAGTGCATACGTAGTGTTCCGAGGAGGTGGGACTGAACCAATTCAGTTAATTTCGAAAGTTAATTGTTGAAGTGCGTTTTCTGGGATTTAGGAGTTACCACCGCATGCTATTTATCGGGGTAGTAGTTGCGTAATACGCGGTGGGCTGCCTGCGATATGCTTTTTTCGAGTGGGCAGTCGCAGGAACATAGTGATTGTAGACAAACGCTTTTTTCCTCATGTTCACACGTTTTTGCTTTCTTTGGATTGCCCCCTCACGTCCCCATTTACATACCGCTCACAGTCCCGTGGAGTCTCCACATCCAAGTCAGTCATATCCACATTGCCTGCTCCTTTTCCATACCGTTGACCGCTATCCTCATTAAGTTGCGATGTTAAGGAAGCATTGCTTTGGCTTTGGTTTAACGATTCGTCAATCTTCGTGAACGTTGGGCGTCTGCCTTGGGTCAGTAGGTGCTCAACCACGCGTATTCGGATTATCGTTCTTTCTGCTGCATGTGGCATTTCCCGCATCTGTACTTCAACTGCCAGAGGTACGCACCCTAACACGCAAATCAAAGCTACGCAAATATTTTTGAATGCGAGTTGGTGGCTTCCTTTGTGGCATCGACGGTTGAGTGCAGTGACTACACTTGAGAACCTCAGGCACTGCATAACTTGTCCAGCCAAGTGGTTTGCACACCTCTAGTTACTTCAACTGGGGTCCCAAATATTGCGCCTGTGAACGAGTCAATGGCCACGCCAGCAGGGAGCTTCCTGCATTTAACCACGCAGAAGCATAGGTGAGACGGCTTCTAGCCTTTCACCGCCCGCGTATTAAAGGCAGCAAAGCAACTGCAACAACAAAGGACTGCATTTCTGTCATGACGGGGGGTTACTTAACATGCAACATTCGCTTACGACACTGGCTTGAAATAAAGGTGATGTGGCCCGTCCACGAAGGCCGGAATAGCAAAAAACTTTCCCTTAAGAACGGTGATGCTTGAATTAGGGGCGTACGAAAAGCGATTGGGATACCGCAGTCGGTTCCGTTCTGTGTCGGGATATTCGCAGTTCCTTCCGAAAGTACCAGGCTTGCAAAAACAGCTTCAGCAAAGGGCAATGCACAACATATAGTAATATGGTAAGTGCAGTTTCACGGTAGTTTAACAGGAAAGGGATACAGCCTCTACGTCATGCAAGTTTTTGTTCGTCTCAGCGAACAGCGGTTCTCACATTCCATATTTGGGAACGCCTCCATTTCTGCAGGGCCTGCCGTGGCAGACGAGATCTACGTCGGGGCACTGAAGTATACCATCGGCTACCCCTGGTGCTTGCTTTTCTTGCCCCTTTTCACCCCTCATGCACACTGTTGTTGTCTCAGTGCCATTTGGTAGCCTGCTTATTACTTGGGCGGCCACCCACTTAACAGGCTTTGACGTTGGCAGCATCATGGGCGCTTCTACTCGGTCGTCGTTCGAAACGCACATGATCCTGTGGCATGCGCCCCCGTGAGAGGATGCCCGAGAGACCGTCATCATCATTTTTAGGCAGCTGCTCCAGTTACGCAACCCACGGCACATGGAAGCACAAAGAGGTAATTTCCATTTCAGCCCAAATTTGCTTCATTCGGATGTGTTGCTGTGGTGCCAAGTAACATCCAACCGCACATCAAGCATCCCTTCAGTCTGCGGCGCCAACGGGTTTACCCTCTCTCACTGTTCGTATTCGGGGTTATTTAAGGAAATTCTCTGCAGCACTTTGGGTCTTCCATCGATCACCCTCCCATTCGGATTCTTTTTTTCTGAGGCATCAAATGATTGGCGGATTTCTTCAGTATATTTTGAACCGTAAACCGCAGAAGACGAACTGGAGATCCCAGCACGAATGCGGCAGGCATAGTTGTCTTGTACACCTAATTTTGAACTGAGAGCCACAGCAAAACCATTTCCCAAGATGATTTCGAGTGGCGCAGCAAAAACACTTAAATCGGATATGGAACAACGAACAATCATCTGGAGACATCTGTTGCATCGCAGGCCTTACTCGAGAGCATACGGGGGCCAGAAGGCTTCAGTCAAATACCATCCTGTGTCTTCCATTGCAGCTAGCAGCAACTCCATGGAAAGTTCCTCTGGAACGAGACACAGTTTAGGGTATTATACCAAGGCATAACAACAAAGCGCCAACTTTTTTGCTCGCCTGAACTGATGGATGAAGCGGTGATGCCAGGTACTCACCTGCCCGGCGGTATCCGGCTTCCACTCTTCCAGCTTCATAGATAGGCTCGAAAACTGTACGCAGCGCAGGTAGGATATGAAAAAGGGGTCCAGCAGCAAGCAAACACTTAAGGTTAAGTTCGCCCAACTGAATTTTCCCCCAAGCAGTGCAGTTGAGAAGTTGCACGATGTGTGATGCACAAGTGCATCTCAGCAAGGGGCGAGATAAGGTTTCACTATGCATGCTGTTCGTCTGCAGAAAGCCAACGTACTCACAGTTTGGCCCTGACTTATTTAGAGAGAGTTCCAAGCCGGTTACATCAATATTGCCGCAATGGCGATGAATGGCACTCATCACCGCAGGAGTCGTAAGAAAAAAGCGATGCGTCGTAATTTCTGTACGTGGGGGTGCCGCCGCCGCTTGCAACGCTCCATTCTTCTGGGTATCTGCAGTGCCTGTTGTTGGTGCCGAAACTTGTGTTAGGGCGTGAAATGAAGCAGCTGATCCTGGATCATGGGCATTACGAAGCCTCCTGTAGGAAAGAGCAGCCGACAACACAACACCCTTCTGAAGATGGGTGGAGCTATATGCCAAGCGTCCACACAGAAGTATCGGTGTGTGCCCCTTGCAGACCTCAGACTAGTGCCAAACGTTTTTAAAGGAATATTCAGCCAGAAGACTTGGGTGTTAAAGAAACTCACCCTAGTGCCTCTTTTCTCCATGTTGGGTCCCATGTTAGGAAATAGCCCACTGTTTGTATGTTGACAGCAATAGCACTGATAATGTATGTAAGAACTCTCTCCACAGCCTGAGAGAATGAGACATTCCGGCTAGCATAAAAACCCTCGACCTCGGCAAACGGAATCGATATGCAGGCAAGAATTGGACGGTAGTTCTCGTCAGTTTGGCAAACATCTGCAAACACCAAGTTCACCACGCTCCGAAGTTGTAGCGAAGCTGACCATGCCATCCTCGTATATTTGGTAGTCCAAGCTGCAACTTCACGATGGATTGCATGTAAGAGAAAGAGTACTTTGCTGGGTTGTTCTTTCTAGAAAGCCGGCCTTCCCAAGCCACAGTGGAGGTTTTGCTATAGCTAGCATATCACTACAAGATGCATCCCTCAAAGTAAGCCTACGGCTGCTCGCTTCTGAGTTTTTCGCAGTGCGGAACAGTAAGAGAACGTCTGCATCTTCAACTATCCCAAGTGACGGATTCCCCCTTGTACTCTGCAGACGTCGAAGCTGGGGTAGTTGGCACTTGCCGCATTTGTCTACTTTATTCTGTCTGCACAGAAAAACTCCAGGAGTATTCGTGCTTGATAAATATGCAGAACTGTTCAGGGCAGCATTACCGAGCATGGTTCGGTTCATAAGACCTTCCGATACAGCAGAAACCTGCGTACTCTGTACCTTGTACCTTACTTCTTATTCCTTTTCTCCGAAACCTTGATTGTCAACGGCCCAAGCAGCCTATCTACAGTGACGGTCCGCTGAAGCCACCAGATGGCAGAGGGCACGACTTCAACTTGAAAGAAACGAAGCACATCGCTGAACCACCCAACTGTATGGTCCTCCTCGTTGGCTCCATTGCTGCCGTCGCTGGAATATTCAGTGTTAGCATCTGGTTGCTCTTCAAGTGCTGAATCGCCTGATGCAGCGAAGCACGCTTGAACCCGTACAGGAAGAAAGACCCCGCCACGCCCCCTTATTTGGGGCACCTGAGTGAAACTAGGGACCTTGATAGGGAGATTCTCAGCCAGAACTGGCATTCTTGTTTTCCTTGCGCTAGGCTTCCCGGTGTGAGCTTGTGCATTGGCTGCCTCTTGCTGGAGCTGCTTGGGTATCTTAAAGGGGGTGGTTGCTAGCCGGCGGAACCTAAGGGAGGAGCGGAGGCCGATAACTGAACTTGGCCGTTTCACTTCATGAGCACTGCTCAACCAATCGTTTTGCGTAGAAGCTATGCGACGGCGATCTGGCACCTCGCTGTGCAAAGTGTAAACCTGGCAGAGGTACTTCGACTGGGAGCAAACAGGTATTGGAGCCTGCTCCAGTTGGCTTATCTGATTTTCGACAGCCCTTAAGGTGCGGACGGTTGATGAAGAAGGATTTAACAGTTTGAGGGTTTGGGCCAGAGCTCCTGATGCTGTGGGTGTCGCTCTGTCAAGAAGAAGACCTTCCACCGATGCAGCAGATGCAGCTTGGACATGCAGTTCCGCTGTAGTCCCCCAGTTCCCCGGAAAGTACACAAAATAACCAAGCAGTAAAAGTAGCATGCACCGAGCGGAGCACTGCTGCTGCCCGGCCTTTGCCATGGCGGCAACAGCGTGGGGAGTCCACTTCTTGCAGTCGCCCATTTGCTGCATCGAAAAAGCTAGGACCTTGCGAGTTTGTCAACTGACGAACAACTCGCCAATAAAGAAACACTCTTTCCATGGAATAATGATGCTTACGCGTGCCTCTTCAATGCGCAAGCCGTGTTTGGTTCCCTGGTGAGTAATTCGTGTCGATGTTACTCTTCCATACTGCAAGTAACCCGTAACTATGCCAAAGAATAGCTACTAGACTGTGGAAGAGCCTCCACGACATCCGTCTGGTGCAGTACTCCCCATGGAAATCTCACAGCATGGCAGTACGTTACGCGGGAGCTTCAGAACTTGGCGTTTTTTGTTCGGAGCAACCGGCAGCAACTTTCTTCGCGATTAGTAGCGGGTACGAGCAATGAAAGCTCTTAGTGCTTTGCAACTTCGAGCTTTAGAAACGGTGGGAACTCCTTGCCTGGTTTGCTGGTAGGCTACGTGGAAAGCCACTTGGCAGACAGCAATGCTCTGAGAAAGCAGTACAACCCAACCAACCTTCAGTTTCCGGGGCAAGGATCAAATAACGGGCATTAGGTTCCGTTCGTCCCCAATCAAACGCTTTTGCTTGCTTGCCGAGCATATGTTCGTTCTTACAGAGGAGACGCCATAGCGTCAGAGTAAACGTCGGGCAAACTGAAGGCCTCACCTGTGTTCATCAGTGCTCTGCCCTCTGTTTCACTTCACGCCGTAAATTAACATGCAGCGGGGGAGGTATCTCTAGCAGTAGGGTGTTTAGCGAGCAGCTGAGCAATCCTCTTGGGAAACAGCTACTGGTGTTGGGGCTTTGGGGCTGTAAAGTTTGGGGCTTTGCGTTTGCTGGACAGATAGAAAGTTTCGGTTTGGAGCAAGGGACCGCCCACTGGCGACTGCACAGGAGTTTAAGTATACACAAATGCGTTTTAAGGGAAGTGTCACGTCTAGACGGACCACTCAAATTCCCTGCGTGTCACATTGGCTCACATCCACAGTGTGCAACTACTTCTGATGGCGCTGCTCTACGAAGAGAGCTGGAGGAGCCGTACGGGTTAACCCTTTTTTAACGCATTTCTTTTTTAAAAGTAGGACATTGTTTAGATGCAAGATATTCGGCACTCCACTATCGCCACTGAGATCCACCGTCAGACCCCCCAGGAGAGGAAGGACGTGCAGATGCGGGCAGAGGAGCCCGATACGGGTTGGAACACTAAGCACTGCAAAGTAAATTTAAAAGGAATTATGGAGCTATGGATTGTTGCCGACATTGTTTTTGGCGGCTGCTGCTCCTGGCAACCGCGTGTAGCTGATTCGGTCCCTAGCAATGCCTTGTGCGACTCCACTGCTGAAAGTGGAGGATGATGGTGCGTGGATTGGGGGTGGTGGTTTGCTGCGGGAATCCCCGCTATGAACAAAATAGAAGGAATTCGTGCAACTTTATAATTACTGATACGGAAGGACGGGTCTGGTGCAGCCGGGAGTACAGCCCTATAGTACGCAAACCATGAGTGCAGTTGGATGTACGGGTAAGCTAGCTACAGGGTAAGGCAGTGAGAGAGTGGAACGTATCACTACATAGGAGTAATTACAGCACAAGCGCTTCTATAGATTAGAATATGGACCCTTCTTTACCTGCGACAAACGGACTCTCCACGCAGGTGGTAGGCGGCCCGAAGTTAGCTGACTTGTTCATGCTCACGGTCGCGTTCGCCGACGCTCTATCAGCGGGAGCCCGCAGGGGCTTCCAATGAAAGGGTTACTCAAGCGATAGTCAAGAAGCTACTCGAATTGTCGGTTTACTGTTCAGTTTCCTGAATATTCTCGTTTCGTGCATACACTTCACTTTATTACATGAGTCCAGGATATCACTCTTACACGGTTGGCCGTCAATCGCTCTTTGTAGAGAGTTCAAGGAAACTTGTGTGCTTCCGTGAGCCGTTCGAGAATACGAAACCAATGGCATAATCCACATTAACGCTAGACTTGTAGTGAAAACCAACACGCTGAGGAGGAAAAGAAGCTGGAAAGAGCCATCCGCAGCCTGTGGCAAAGTTACTCCAAGTTATTCGTCGGTTGACAGACTTACTTGCCTTGCGAAGCTTGCATATCTGCTTCATGCACTTCGCTTTAGTTAAGCGAAGTGCATTAAGCTCAGCAAATGGTGCTTCGGGAAGAAAAGTGGAAGCAAGTGCACTGTTGTACTGTGGACCCACCTCGTGCTACGAAGGAGGCCCAGCCAATTTGGTGAGTTCTTCCAGGTGTACTGTCTCAAGCACTGCACCGGCGTACGGTTTGCATGTTTGATTTCATACTCAGAATAGTCAGAATCCGGGTGGGTCGAGGTAGTCATTCAGTGGTTGATGCTTAGCCGCTCCATGCTCTCGCAGCAGAAGATACAAGTCAAGTTGGGGCATTGACAATAGCGCTAATTTTGAAGAAATCGTGTGGCGTTTCAGGCCCGATTAGTGGAACGTTGGGCCACTAGCTTTGTTTCAATTGAACACGAAATGAAGTGCAGGAATTCACTGTGTTTTCGCCCGCATGCATACGGTGGCGGCTTTTGATTGGTGGTAAATCCTTTACGGACCCGAATAATATGTCCGTCCCAATCCGCGTACCGACCGGGCTAACCAGAAATAGTCAGTGCCTGGGGGTGTTCTGAAGCCTCCGCGGTTGACATTCTTGACAGATGTGCGCTAAATGAGCTATGAACCATCGCGGGATTCCACAACGGGGATTGAGTAAGAGGTAAGGAAGGTATTGAGGCTTAGTACTTGAAAATGATAACGAAACCAGTATCACCAGTAGACCACATTCTGGAGTAGCTCAAGACTGCCTGACGAGCAGCAGAGCGAACGGAAGATAAACAAATAACTTGTAAATGCCTCTGCCCTTCCGGCATTTCGACACGTGGGAATTGACTGGGCTGAAGGCTAAGTTCACTACAGAAGCAACATAAGATATAGCACCTTATTTTTGGACAGAAACACCCAGGAAGAAAGGGAAGAAAATTTTCAGATGTTGTACAGGAGGACTGGGGGCGGGTAGGGAAAGCTGAAGCAATTCAAGCCTGTCATCTGCCAAACAAAGTTATACAGGCACGATGTATTCAAAATATGTAGGAGCGCAATGAAATCCTTGAAACGAGGAAAGGAAGCGTGATACAGCTACCACAGCGAGTCTCGATTTGAGGGACGCCGGAGCGTCAGTGGAAGCCAACCAATTGAACGCGCTAATATGAGTTCGTAACACAGGGCAACATTCAGATATTCAATTGACTTTAGAGAATGTCAAGTCAATAAGACAGAAAACATCCGACAATCCCCCTCACCTCATCTCTCTTCACGCTTCCGGCGTTCCGGTTTGAAAGCAGGGAGCGCTACGGTGACCTTTGCTTGCTTGAGGGACGGTAGGGTCCCCGTAGGTGATTCGCATTGTCACAAGGGAAAAATTATTTCCCCCCTCACACTCGCGCTAGCAGAAAGGAATTCCTTTGCGGTCGCTTCCGCTTGCTGTGCATGCTCTCCAACCAGTGGACCACCCCGCCTCGTTTCTCGCCCGGTCGGTCTGCGAGCTCCATCTCACTTCAGAATGCTCTTGCCCTGCACATTTCCCCAGTCTCAGTTGAAACACCAGCATATGTGGGAAAACGCCAGCTCTGTCGGCTGGGAAACCCGCGGTTCCTCGTGCGAGGCGAATTGGAGGTGACCTAGCGACGCGAGGGAGCTGTGTTAAACTCCCGTGAGACCGTACCTGTTGCAGCAGTTGTGTAGAATGGGCGGAAAAGCTATGTGTATTTGAGTACGATTCGCGTTTACTAGAGAGGGGAAGAGTTCCGTGCGGGCCAAGCGCGCACACGCGAGGTTCGAGGGCTGCGGCTGCTCCGTGCGCGAATTCTGCTCGAGACACCCCATATCCTCTTGTGAAAGCAGTCTTATACCGCTCGCAATGCGCCGAATAGAAGGACCGTGCCTGTTTGCATGTGTTGCTTTTGTGATCAAGCTGCCATTTGGTCCCGTCGGGCTCGATATTCGAAACCCGCCCACGGAGGAGCGATTTCTCAGAATTGTGTGCGCATGCAGGTGCTTTTCTGAAGAGTCACCCTTCTTGGCATCCCACCTCTGACATCAGCCAGCTGCGCCTTGGCGGAGCATCGGAGGAACCCTTTGGTAGGGGCGTCTCTTGTTTTCACGATGGCGGCCTCGCCCTCTGTAGTCCGCAATTACAGAGGCTATTTTCTCTGGCTCGCGCTGCAATATTTGATTTGCTTGGCAGTAGGAAACGGCGACTTCTATGGGGAACAGTGGCCTGTGCTAGCCTTGGTGGCCATTTGGCTGACGTCTGAACTTGTTACGAAGTTCTCTTGGAATTTCAGCAGGAGGTCAACGGGATCACTAGCTCAAGGTCTGGAGATTTGCTATGTTCTGGCTGGCATTGCGTTCCAAAAGGCATTGTTTACGTACGGGCACTCACGTCTGCTGCTGTGTTGGACATTGCACCTCGGCTAGCCCGCTCAAACACAGTCTGGAAGCAACCAGATGGCGAATTTCTCCATGCTTCTAACTAGTAAATGGCGTGAGTTATGCGGTAAGTTGGCTCAAGGCACAGGGAATAGGAGTTTGCATGCGATGCTGCTCTGACGTGCTGATGTAGGACCCATGTTGCTTCGCAACCATCTGAGCGCGCGGTATCCCAAGCGATAGCAGGGGCTAGCAAACTTTCCTTAATATTTCTCTGCCTTCCTGTAAGCTTGGGCGATTCGTGTGTTAGCTTGTCCCTGAGGTCTGTCAGCCACTTCCGCTGATCCGTAGTTGGACATGAGACTTGCAGAGGCCAAAAAGCACGAGACCTGTCACCTCACCGTTGGAAGAGACGCTACGTGCGGCTTCGGTGATTGCGCCTGCAAACATTTCAGGCTGGAGAGTTACTTCTGTTGTTGCTGGTGGACTCCTTGCTACAACTGCTGCTCTGCAACCCGTCTTCAAGTTCACAGCAGGATCCGTCCTGTGACGTCTTCCTCGTGCTCCTGAGCGACGCACTCTTCACTGCGCTGCCATTGCTACTGTACTGCTTTGGGCCCTGGCGTGCCTCAGACAATCGAGCAGTCACTGAGTGGCAGGAAGTAGAAAGGAAACAAGAAGGCCTCAATTCTTCGGGAGGCCCTACAACCACGGTTTTGACAGCTGCTTCTGCAGGCGGGAAAGAAATCGTGTGCAGGAGATGCTGCAGTGGAGCCCTTTTGAATCCCACGTAAGCTGTTGTTCCTCACCGGTAGGACCTCTTTTCCGTTTTTTCTGTAACAGTTCGCGGCTGGGTGTTTTGCTTTTACGTGAGTTGATTCTTTTCACAGACGGGCAAGACTAGTAGAAGTAGTATTAAAGGGCAGCTGGTGAGTTCTCGGGTGTCACAGAAAGTCACTGCTGACATATGTAGTTGTCTGTTGTTCGCCAGGTGTCCTACTGAGGCCTTCAGTGGTTCGATCGTCGAGTGTCATGAGGCCCAACGACGCGGAAAGACGGGAGATGCCTTTGACGTAAGAAGAAGGGACAAGCCCAGTCATGGAGCAGAGCACTCGGTAGAGCGGCTGTTGATTTCTCTGGTTTTGTTGCTATTGAAGCAGAATAGTGCAAGTGCAGGGGAACAGGACAGTCTTTTTGTTGATGGAGCAACTACACCCGTCGAAGCAGAGGGGCTGCGCAGAGAAGTCAAAATGCGCTGCGAAAGACATCCCTGCAGAGACAAAGGAGAAGCAGACACAAGCAGTCCAGGCCCAAGAACTGGTATTTCGGACGGCGGCGGACCTGTTCTGCGCCCCAACCCCTGCGACAGGGGGACAATGCAAAGTCCGCAAGGGCCCATACAAATAGTCGTTCCTCGTGTTGAGAGAGCCCTCACACCTTCAGAAACACGGGGCGAAGCTGCTGTATGGATTTGCCCTCCGGCCCACAGCGCCTGCAATCTTGCCGCAACGCAGCCACTTCTCCAACACAAGCACACTTCATGCGCTGCAGAACGCAGCACCTTCGCTATGGATTCTCCTCATACTAAACCTCTCGTGGCGCCAGACCAGCGCTACCCACAGGCGGCCTCGTCAGTGGCAGGCACCATCACACAAGCAGCGGCAGGTTTTACAAGGCACAAGGACTCGGCAACCTCCAGCCCTGCTCCCCTACCCAAGGCACCCGCGCAGGTAGAGAGAGGCCGCCAAAGGCTGCTCGTCGTTCCCTTGAAAGACCAGACTGCCCAAACGAACCAAGAAAGCACGCGCCCTGCGGGTATGGGGCGAACACCTGCTGTTCCCATCGTGCCCTGTGAGCAACGCCCACTGCGTGCTGATGCAGCACCTCTTTTGGTAATAAGGGCAAGAGCTAGCAGTCAGCCCCACCCCAGCAGGGCCAGTCAAGAGTCTATTTTGTTCAGCTCAAGAATAGCCCCGTCGAAGGGGCCGACTGTCCCTCCCTCGTACTTGGTGCAGCCTGCACTGAGAGCTGAAGGCAACAGCAGGCCCAGCGGCATTGATGGCAGTAGCTGCCAGCCGTCGGATAGAGGAGTGGCAGTGATAAAGACGCTCCATCAACACAGACAAGGCGACACTAACGGGTTTGTCCTTGTGGGAAGCCCTCGAGGTGCACTCAGCCCAACAGGAGCAGTTGGTGCAACTCTGGCCAGAGTCCTAAAACCTCACCTCTTGGGCGACCTATCCCTTCCCTGCAAAGAAGGTAACATCAACAGCGCCAGACTATCTAGCGGAGCGAATGGAATCTCTCGAATTTATTTCGGCAACATGATTCCTCAAGGAGAGCAAGAATCATCTCTAGCGGGAAACGACCGCCACTTCCAGCAGCTGAGCCCGGGTCCCGGTAGGGAACAGCAGCAGCAACAAGGAGATCACCCGCAGCAGCACCATTTACTGCAGCACCTTATGCATCAGCCTGGGTTGCCAGTATCGCCGAGAAGAAGTAGCCCCCAGGAGGACAGAGACAAAAGGGGAGGATCAACCCCTTCGCAGCCCCACATGAAGGTCCATCGAGCGGCGATGGACCCGGGTGTGCCGATTTTGCTGCAGAAGGTGACAGCTCCCGAAGAACGTGGAAGGGGAGATTGCCGTGCTGCTCCGAATGATCTCAACAAGCAGAATAACACTATTCCGGGGCGGGGAGTAGAAAGAGTGCATGCAGGGAGGACAGCCTCGCCTGAGCAGCGGTTGCCTGTCCTCGGCCCTTTTACAGCCTGGAGCCAGCAGCCCAACAAGCCTAGTTCCTCTGTTTCATGGGGCCGCTCGAAAGCCATTGGGGCCAACGGGACACCTATGGTGAGCCCCCGAAAGAAAGGGAGGACGAGCAGCTTGGGGCATGGAGAGAAATCAAACGAGACAGGCTTGCACAGAGAGTCAGCGCTGACTTTTGATTCAGAGATGCACTTTCAGAGGCCTCCCAACATCACCTTTAGAACGATTTCGGGGGAAGGCACGCGCGGAAAAGTCTTGGGTGAAGACTCGATGGACAGGAGAGAATGCACGCACATGAGCAACAAGCAGTTATTTGGAGCCCCCTCGCTCCCTTCGAGGGACTCGACGACGCAGAGAAGGCCGGGAGACAACGATACAGAAGAGAGGCACGAGAAGCTCCGCGACTTTGCCATGTGGCGCCGAGGCAGGCGTATAGATAATGGGGGCTTAGAATTTTCAGGGAGAATACCACCACCCAAGCCAGACCCCACAGTGCGCTTAGGCAAACCTGGTGGATTGCAAGAAGGGCAAGTTGCGGACTATAATGAGAAGACGATGCACCCATCTGCTTGCAGGGCTGCAAGCACAGGCCACGCAAAGAACATCGCCGAGGTGTGTGGGGAAAGGCGGTCTGCGGCTAGACCAGGAGCCTCGGGGGCTGAGGGCCCTTCTGTGTTGTTGACGAGGCCAGGAGACGACAAACAGCTCTCCTCACCACAGCTCGCCAGCAGCAGCCGTCTCAGCAGCAGCGCTAGACCCATTGACTCGTGCTGTCCCAGGCACACCGCCTCAAGACCTTCTATGCTGGAGACAGCAGGAAGAAGACACCATCCGCCACTGCGCAAGCCCCAGCTGCTGCTGGACGTCGCGAGCAGCGGCAGCAGCGGCACCTCCTGGGAGAGCTGGGAGCCCTTGCTCCAAGGAGAGCTTGCAACTTTCTCCTTGCCTATCTCAGAGGAAGAGGCCTCCCGACTAAGGGACGAGTTCAATGAGGGCGGCGAGGGAACTTCATAGGGGGAAAGGGGCCTTTCCTCCAGCCCTAGGCGGCAGTCTGTAGTGTGAGCGACAGACGGACGCAAACAACTGCCTCTCCCTCTCTTTGCTCGGGGGCTCCTCAGGAGACAAGGAAGAAGATGGAAAGCAGACAGGGGCGGGTAGATCACAGTGTTGGACCCACGATTAGTGCATGGGTGCTGTGTTAATGCCCCACAATAGCAGTAGCAAAAATAGCAGAAAGAAGCAGCGTCTTCTACCTCCTCGTTTATTATTTGAAACCACTTCTATTCCGAGGCATCAAGACCACGCTAAGTTCCCCCGCTATGCCCTGCAGTTGGCTGTGTGGCAAAGGGCAAGGCTGAAGGTCTTCAGAAGAGAAAAAAAGACAATTCAGAGAGGCCGTATGCGAGACAGGCAACAGAAGCACAGTAGCACTCAGAAACAGAAGCCTCTAAAACCTACACAAAATTGTTCTGTAGAGGCTGAGTAGGCGCCGCATGTCTGGTGTAGTAGGCACTTGCACATGCACACGAACTGAGTCTCTGTTTTGTGCGCCTGATGTCCGCTCTATTGTCTGTACTCTTCATCCTGGTTCTTGCGTTAGGAGTTAGGAGGCTGCAGTCCATCGGTCTTTTTATTATGCAAATCTAGTGCAATTTATCAAAACAACCCGCATTTGAAAATGACAGTAGTAAGACAGTCTTGTTCTGCAGAACATGCAGCTAATAATCAGAGAAACACATTTGCACTATATCACATGTACAATAAAATAATAATAATAATAATAATAATAATAATAATAATAATAATAATAATAATAATATAATGTCTACGAGATGGACGGCAGTTACCGTCCTAAGTGACTAACTGCAAATGAAAGACACTTTTCTCGCTCTAATAATCAGAAAAAAACAGAAATAAGCCAACTTGGGACCCCCAAGTCACGACGCCCAATTCAAAACAAAGGCGTTCGCTGTGGACTGTCAGTTCGTCAAGTGCAGCCGCTGCGAAACAGAGATAGCAGCAGCAGCAGAATTGCTGCTGCTGCTATCTGCTGCGCGCTTAACTGAACTGCTGCTGCTGCTACGGCTGCTGCTGCCAGGCACGCGACCCTCCCTAAAGCTCAAGAGACAGTGTCAAGAAGAAAGGAGAGGAGACAACAGCTGGAGTTCTATTTTGATGGCGCTGATGTTCCGCTGTCTGACGAACGACTGCACAGAGCGCACGAAGGGAGCGGACAACAATTCCTCTCGCTCTTCTTTTCTGACTTCTCCCATTTGTACTCAAAAGTGAGACCACAGAGGTAAGAACACAACACCCAACAGAGCGACAAGCTGTTCGTGCACCAACTCCCAGCACAAGAGGAGACACAGACGAAGCAGAAAGTAACACAGCAGCACATCAGAAAGCGGAGAAGGAGCAGCAGAAATGACAGAAGCAGCAATATCAGTAGCACCCCCGCAAAACAGAGAAGCAAAGAGAAAAGATGCAGAGACCCCTGCAGCAAATGCCCCGAATGAAGAGCTAGCTACAGGACTAACAGGATCCGCAAAGCATAACAGCACAAAAGATGAAAATAGCAGCAACAAAACTGTACAACCATGTAGAGAAACTTAACAGACAGCAGTGTATAGGTCTGTTTGCTCACACAAAGCTCCTGATGGAGTCCTGCTGCCTCGAGAGCTTCTTCGTCTTCGCTGTTATTATTTTTGTTTCCTAAAGAGACAACCTCGTCGTATGCTTGAGCGCTTGATGTGTCAGCTGAAAGAGACAAGAGAGCCGCGTTGGTGCTGCTTCCACAGGCTGCTGCCAACTTTGAAGCAACAGCAGCAAACACGGCTTCCGCCTTCCCCGTCGTAGCTTCTGCTGCAGCCGAAGCCTTCAATGCTGCTGGCGTACGCGCGGCTCCCTTCGTTGCTGCTGTTGTTGCTGCTGGTGTAGCTGCACCAGCACAGTTCGGCGCTTGCTTCGAGTCTGTTATACTGCAGCTGTAGATTACCTGTCCCCCGAAAGCGGCGACAACGTCCTGCGCTACAAAGACAGCCGTCTCGATGCAGCTACTCGTCCCCCTGATGACTGCCTTGGCGTAAGGTCCCCGCAGCAGCTTAATGCAGCGCTTTGTATAAACAACCAGAGGCACTCGACGCGTAACAAAGACCTCGTAAGGACGCAGAGGAGGCCGCGCCAAGGGGTTTCTTGAAACAATTTCTGCAAGCAAAAGAGGGAGAAGAACAACACCAAAGAAGAATGTCTGTTGAGACACACAGAGAATGCACCATCGTACTCAGCAGCAGAAAAGCAGCAACTCCTGATAAAAAAAGCGTCTAGTGACATTCACACATAACAACCCCAAAACAATAGACGAAAATCCTAAGGCTCCTGCGGCCCCAGTCGTTACAACAGCTGCATCTGCTTCACATGAAGGGAAGCCCCCCAAAGCTTGTGGGTTCAGTTGTAGCTATTAGACAGGAAGTGGAGGCCCCATAAAGAAAGAAGTCGTTAGACAACAGGCTAGGGATTTGTAGGGGCAACTGCAGCGGCTGCAGATGACCAACCTGCTCGGTCTTCCATGGCTTTCCAGATTTGTTTAGTGGGCTAAAGAGCCTCACGTTTATTCTGAGTGTCTGCTGAGCTCTTTCCTTCACTGCTGCCTACTGGGACCTTCAATAAAACCTGATGGGCTTAATTGAGGCCCCTCGGTGAGAGGTGCTGACCTCAGCGTTGTTGGGGTGTATGCACACAGTAAGTACAGAAGAGGTGAAGAGAACGAGAGGCGTCTGGTGAGTTTGATAAAAAAGGAGAAGAGGATAGAAGGAAGCGAGTGGGAGCAGCTATTGCCGCCTCGATGCAAAACAGCGGGGTTTGAAGGTAAGGTAGGAACATACCGTTGTGCGTCTGTCTGCTGACAAAATGAAGGTTGAAACAAAAGAAAATTGATTATTAAAACCCGTTTTTTCTTCGTTTTACTCTTCAAAAAAGACCAGGGGAGGAAAGAACAAGATCCACCATCCTATGCATCCGCGAGGCCCCAAGTGCAGTAAGCAGAATCGAAGCCCATAGTAAGGGGCAAACAAACAAAATATACAATCGAAATAATTAAAATATTTACTTTAAAAAAAAGAAAATTAAATTATTTTCATAGGTGAAACGGAAAAAAGCCGACGACGGGGCTCGAACCCGCGACCACGAGGTTAAGAGCCTCGCGCTCTACCGACTGAGCTACATCGGCGACGATAGACGGGCTTTTTGTATTTTGACAAACTTCGCCGTTTTTTATTAAAAAGGAAAATTTACAATGCACGCCTTTACTATATATATATATATATACATATACATATATATATATATATATCTATATATATTATTGGGGTCTTTTCCGTGGAGAGCACCTACATCGCATCCCCCCATGTGTAAGCAGAGAATATAGAGGGGTCCCTATTACCTATAACATATACATATATATATATATATATATATAATTGGTTTCTCTTTCTTGGACAGAGCAAGATATATATATATATATATATATATTTATATATGCTTTTGTACTGCTACCCCCCTACTAATGATGCCAGTTCCAGACCTCCAACTCCATAATATCGATCGCTGATGCCTCCGCATCTACAGCAGCTGCTCTCTCTCCTTGGCACTGAAAGACTACTAATATGGATATACTCTAGCGTCGCTTCATGACCCCTTACACTCAAGGAGAAGGCCTCCTTATAAAGGGAGCGAGTGACAAAAATCTGCACGTGCGTCTCCGTCTAGATCTACATCTACATCTACGTCTGTCTATCTATCTCAAGAAAAGAGAACAAGGACACATCCGCCTTCCACCGCCGCGAGGAATTAAGAAGAGAGTGTTACTGCCCCTACAGCGAGTGTCTGTCAAACACGTGCAGCGCATCAAATAGGCCCGCTACCAGCCAGCTGACTGGCTATCTAGCTAGCTGGCTAGCTAGCTAGCTAGCTGGGTGGTTGCTGAGCCTCAGGGGGCGAGCCAATCTCAGCTCTGTTGCATTCATTAAGACGGAAGAGTGTTTAGTACACGTGTTCAGGGAACATGAAGGCAGCATCTTTGTTTGTAAGGCGTTTATACACCGCAGCAAATGTCCACAACTTCTCCTCCAAGTTGTCTTTTGCTTTGTCTTTGGGGTCAAGATGCACCTTCATCAGCTTCGAACCATCAGCACGCACCCGCCACCTGTTCATACACCGCAGCACGCAGCAGCACAAGCTATCCTTAGAACAAAACTAAGCTTGCAGAGCAGCAGCACCGCCACCCCACAGCAGCAAGACATCGCACAGCAGCAGCAAGACAACGCCATAACATCCAGACAACACAGCAGCAGGAGCAAGACAAAAAGCCAGCAGCAAGAGACAACAGGAAACAGCAGCAAGAGACATCAAGAGACAGCAGCAAAAGAGAAGAGCCAGCAGCAAGAGACGCCAAGAGACAGCAGCACTAACCTGCGTCCGACAACTTCTGAGGGGGCGACAATATCATCAAGCATTGCATCTTGTACACTTGTCAGTGTACGCGATCGCGGGCGAACTTTGAGGTTTTTGCGTTTGTAGTCGAGGCCCACGATGCTCCTCTGCACGTACACCCCACAACACACATATAAGCCATTCATGCATGCATGCATGCATGCATGCAATAAAAGAAAACCTGGGGCTTTTTATTTGAGACAGAAGGAAAGAAGAAAACAGACAACATAATGCTATATGAATACCACTTAATTAGAAACTCTCAGATACACCCACAAATAAAGTTATCTCTGCATGCATGCAAGAAGAACTGCATGTATTTACTGCATGCATGCATTGAAGAAGACGTGAATGCATGCATGCATGCATGCAAGAAGAACTGCATGCATACACTGCATGCATATAGTGCATGCATATACTGGTGTGAATACAGACCTGTGCAATGATAACGACATGTCTTTTGAGTTTTTTCTCGAGTTCTTGAAGGAGTCTGCCGTGGATTCTTCTAACAACATTAACATAGATGCGATAGGGAACAAATATTACTAGTGCAGTCTTCCCTGAGGCAGGGACCTCCACCGCCTTCACAGATGATATCGTCAACTCAGCCACCTCCCCGCGCAACTCCGACTGCGTGCTCGCCTGCAATATATATACATATATATATTTATTTATATATATAGATCTATATATATGTAAATCTATTTACATTATGTATGTAGATCTATCTATACATATACATATAATATATACGCATTATATGTATAGGAATGCATACACATGAATATACATCTTGGCTTTATATATAAAGCCAATATATATATATATATATATACATATACATATACACATATATATATATATATGGGAACGAGCTAGGGTGCTCTGCAGAGATATAAGAGATACTACCAGCTGCAGCTACGAACCACAAGACAACAGCGACATAGATCTACAGAAAGAGAGGAGACGTAAAGATAAAGAAAAGACAAATAAAAGACAAATAAAAGATAAAGAGATTTAGAGAGAAGCAGAGAGAGAGAGAGACGCACTTCAATGTCCGCGAGACACCTATCAACTTCCTTCTCCACCTCTGTAGGGGGATTGCCATCGGCCTTCACAATCCGCTGTCGAGACGCCATTTTCTGGGTATGATCTGCAGCAGCAAAACGCAAACAGCAGCAGCAACTTGCATGCAGACTTTCGTCGATATAGCTGCAGCAGCAGCAGCAGCAATAAGCGCGGTATACACGAGCAATAAAGGTTAATGCATGCAAGGGGATATGCAGCTATCTATACTTCAGGAACAGGAAAGGAAAGAAAAAAATGTAGGAACATCACAAGATATAGACGTATGTCTGCTGTCTGTGCATCGGGCAAGCCGCATGCTAGTGGGGGCTCTTCATTATTATCTTCTCTACTGAAGTGTCTGTACACCTCAGATCAGACAACCAATCCATACATGCAGAACTCTAATGAACAACAGACAAAACCCAGCAGCAGACTCTGCAGCTACCACCGTGGGGTGTATATACAGACAGCGACTTAGAGACAGCGA